CCCATCTTTCCAGTTTGTGTGTGGCTTTGTCATAAAAAAAAAAAAAAAAAGCCAGTAGAAAATATTGCAAGGCCAGCACTACTGACAAGCACACTTATGAGTGTTTTACTTCCTAGAACTCCTGATTTGGTTTCCACTGGGATTTGGGTTGCGTACCAATTTTCCTTTACACAATTATAAATAATACAGTTCAGTTTTATGTCATCTGTGGAAGAAATTACACTGAAAGAAGTACTTATTTCAGCTCTAAGTGATATCTTGTTGAAGAAAACATTTATTAATAATATGAACTTTGATCATAAAAAATAACATGACTGCAAGTATTTTTAATTTGGAGAACATGCCACTAATAATGTTAAAAGACTTAAGGTAACTATTCATAGTGCACGAGAAACTCAGGTTCAGTTTTTATAATTTAAACTAATTGCTCATACACACTGACACGGATGGGTTACAGGCTTGTTGCAATTTGCTAGCATTTCAAGGTGCAAAATTAATATTTCCTTGCATGGTTCACATGAATAACTTGAGAACAATTTTTCCCCAGTTTGTTCTTTACACGTGCTGTACAAGTTAAAGGGTTAAGTAACCATTATATTCTAAAGAGCAAACTGTTTGCCTTAGGGCCATCTCCTCCTTACGCCTGATGAATTGCCTGACACTTCATGTATCATACATTACTTTTCACTAGGAAGTAACATTTGGTTCCAGTCATGGTGCAAGACCTGACTTTGGAAGTATGAAGCAATATGGGATAGACGAAAAAAAAAAAAAAAAAAGCCAACAACAACAAAATCATATGCTAAGTAGTCTGTACATATATAATATCCTAATTTATTATGCCTGTACTTTAAAAAATGGGCATAAAAGTGCACAAAGAGAAATTCTATGCATACTGGGATGAGTAAAAGTACAACTATGTGAATCATATTCAGAATAGCAAGACGCTTTTCAGGACTAGAATGAAATAAATGCAAATGTTACTGAGGGCTTGGCACCAGAAGTGTTTTAGAAGCTAAATGTAAGCATAACATTTAAAGCTGTTTTTAAACGGAATGATTATAAACAAGATTAAAATAGGAATGGCCCAGCAATTAGCCAGCAGAAACTGACCTGTGCTTCAGTACAAAGGTGCAGACCTGATACTATTCAGTGTGTTCTGCAAAGGACAGGAGGCACAGCTCCTGCTTGTAACAATTTCAGGAAAACAAAAGCAAAGAAAAAATAAAAATAAAAAATAGAGGCATCAGCCTCCAGTTTAGATTTTTGTTGTTGTAAAATATTGCATGTATTTCAAATATTTATTTAAAATACAGCCCTGATGTGTCTTCACTTGTGTGTGTCAGAACCTGCTCAGAAAGTACAAAGGCAAAAAAAAAACAACAAAAAACATGACTTCTGGAAACATACCCATAAAACCTTACCATGCAAAGATACTATATTAACTTTGTGAACTAAAGTACTTACGATACTTCAGAGCAGTTTACAAAGCTTTTCAAATATTACATGAGACAGCAAACCAGTCGTTTATAATTATAAAAGGGTTGAAAGTTTTATTGGGCAAAGATTTAGCTTAAAGTGTTAGTATTAGCTTTTTTAGCTTTTTTTTTTTTAATTGTAAATGTAATTTAAATGTATTTTTTCTTGCTGTCTGGCTTCCTAGTAAAACCCATGCTTTATGGATAGGATTTATATAACCCTGTATCACATTACTTATTCTTCAAGGTGTGCTTTTCAGGATATAAGTGTCCCCTTGTAAAATGCTTCAAGCTACACAGACTGAATACAGGTGAACATGCCTGGAAATGGTGCTTCTCCTTTGTGGAGCACAGCTCCTTTCATTAAGTGTGCATCTGATGCTTCTACAAGAAGGAGTACTTAAGAAGGAAAGTAATAAAAAAATCAGGAGCCAAGGTTTGGCCCCTGAGGAAGGGAGAACAGGGGGGAAAACACAACTTTCAGGTGTGAGTTCTGTTCCTGGGCTTAGCACAATCCTCTCTGTGCAAACCAATGGTAAGACATGGGGGGGTTCTTGCATAGCTCCCACTGCATTTGCCATTGCATTGCACAACTGAATCACCAGCGCACCTTCCTTCCTCTCTTCTGCAGATGGGAAAATGAAGGCTTCCTTTCCATAAAGCTCCTGCAAGGGTTAATTCATAAATATGTATAAAGTGTTTGAGACTGCATATTCTCTGGGCTGCAAGGTATGAAAGGAGTTAACAGGAATTTTAATCAGAATACCTCTATTAGATGAAGGAAATGTCTGGACTAAGAACAGGTACCAGAACAGAGATTTCTTTTCTCTTCTCTATTCTGAAAGGATACCTTTTCTAAACACAGTGTTCAAAACATCCTGATAGCACAGAATAATAAAAGAAATAAAAATTGCTCCTGCTATGGGGAACAAGAAGTATGCTTAGGTGACAGACTGCAGGGAGACAGGACGGGCAGGAATAGATGGGCCCAGGCAGAAGGGTACTGAGCTCAGGAATGCGGATTTCTCAGACAACAGCTGTCAGCAACCAGCTATGAGATCCACTCAGAAAGCAGAAGCCTCACCGCTCCCCAGTTAGCTTATTTAACAGCCTGTTTATTGTTACCAGTAAGTCTACTGAGGTGAAGATCCAGTGCATGAAGTTCCTTCGACAAGCTCTACCCTTTAAACCTATTGTACAGCCAATGAACATGGTTCTGTGGACCAAGTTGCTGGGTTTTATTTCAGAGTTTATCGTTTACAAAAAACAACCAAACAAATAATACAGGTTGCAATGTCAAAGCTTCCCCAGTTTAGAAATGCCAGAAGTTTCACTTGTTTGTGCACATCACTTGATTATTCCTTTAGAAAGGACAAAAACCATGACAAAAATCACCAAGACAACATTACCCTTTATGTGTAGGGTGAGCCCTATCCTCTGGAGGACACATAATGATAAATAATTGAGTACCATAATGCAGAATGGGACCAGATTAAGACTGCCTAGCCAGATGTAACTTCTAATTCAGACACATGGCTTTGCAGCCTTACTTCTTCTTTCCCCTCCCTCAGACATGCAGATTTCTACATTAGCAAGATGGGATATTTGGGATCACTGGCAGCATTCATAAGATGGTCACAATTTACAAGCAGTCTCCTTTGCCACCTTCATTGAAGACTTTTCCAAAGCTACCTTTGGCATCTGACTTTGAACAGTGGTATTTGGTGATTTATCTGCCACAGCTTCCTGTCCTTGGGTGTTGGTGCATATAGCTCACAGACAGCTATGTCAGCCATGATCATTAAAACCTGGGCACATTTGTGTTTTTGGTTTGCTTTTCCAACCAGATTTAATACCTGTACTCTTTTTCTAATTTTAAAATAAAGGACATGGCAGAAAAAGCAAGAATGATGACAGCCAAAATAAACACACCAATAGCTGAGGAACCATCCTAGGCAGTCTTGTATTCACATGAGACCATAACAGCGCCAGACACTACAGTTTTTTGTTGTTGTTGTTGTTGTAAAACCCCTGGTAATTCAAACTGCCCTTCAAAGCAGTTGTACAGCAACTGAAGAAGTGACCAACCAAAGCACACATTGGACAAAACAGTGTAATTAAGACAATCTATTTCACTGATAAGAGGTTCAATCTTCTGAAGGTAACATGTGCTGATTTGACTACAAGAGGAATTGCAAAAAGGGCTCCAGGAGAAAATGCATTAGGACATAAAGGGAAAAAAAAAAAAAAAAAAGGATAAAAGCATTTTTGCACTTCCCTTAGAGTTGTCTTTTGGTTTGTTGAGACCTTTGTACATGAAAAGGTCATGTTCACCTGTGAGTAATAAGCATAATCTCAAAGTTTCCTCACAAGAGAGCTCAACCAGGCTCCAGCCTCCAGGGAGTGGAGGCCAAGGCACTCCCCAGCCGCCCCGCGGAACGAACGCTTCCATGCAGCAGGAGGAGAGAAACCTTGGAACTAACCCGTAACACAGGATCACAGTATTTTGGGGGAACTCATTAAAACTTGAGCATCAACGGCTAAAACTGAGATTTTTATCTGAAAGAACAGAAGCAGTAAAATGAAAGCGGGGGCTCATCCGGCACATGCCTGATGGCAAGCCCATGATACTGTTGTCATTTTCAGTTTTTCTGTGTACAAACATGTATATTTTAATGCTTTCCTTCCACCACAGAAACACTTCCTTTACTGCTATCAAAGCCCTCCCAAGGCAGCAATTAACCATCATCTAAATGCATAACGCCTAACTGTCCTAACAGGAAGGGCAAAAATAGCGTCCTGAGGCAATTAAGAAAGAATAATCGAAAAGTTGTGACCAAAAGTAAACTTCCCGGGCTCATATAGCAGAGCCAGCACTCGGACAGGGAAGGGGACTGAGGTAGTGGCCCCCCTGAGGCGCTGCTCCCTGCGCCTGAGGGCTGGCGAGGGGACAGGGCGACGTGTGGGCCGTGTCCCCACGGGGAACCCTAAACGGCCGCTGCCACCCGGGGCAGCCCCGTTCCCGACCCCAGTCCCGTTCCTGTCCCCATCGCCTCGGCTGTGGCGTCGCGGTGGCTGCCACGTGCGGGCGGCGCCGCTGTGAGGGAAGCGGAGCGCGGCGCCGCCAACCCCGCCCTGCCCGGCAGCGCCCGCCCGCTGAAGCCGCCCTCAGGGTGACGACGGCTCCGCCGTGAGGGGCTCCAGCGGGCTGGGTCCCGGCACTGTCCCCTTCCTTCCCCGGGCGGGCTCTGCCGCCTAACCTCGAAATACCCTCTCAGCGCGCCGCCGTGGCACTTACCGGCTCCATGTCCGACGTCTCCAGGCTTCAGGGGCCGGTCCCGAGGCGATTCCTCACGATTTAACGCCTGCTCGCCCTGGCCGGGCTGATTGTCACCTGCGATGCTGATTGTCACCCCCCCGCCGGGCGGTCCCGCTCCGCCCCGCCACACGTGGGGACGCTTTGCGGCCTCAGGGCCCTTAGGGGCTGAGGGCGGTGCGGGACCGGGCCGAGGCAGCGCCCAGGTGCTGTCCCCGGGGGCTGCTTTGATTGTGGTGGCTGAGGACACACGCGTCTCCAGGCCCCCAGTGAAGGTGCCAAGACCTCACCGAGCAGAGCTTGGCCTTTCCTGTCAGTCAGTACCTCCTCACGAAGCCTGTATCTGTAAGTGAAGTTACAGCCATGTAAAACTTGGATAAGTGAGATGAGATTTAACCATTTCCTTCTCTTCTTTTAAAGGTTTCCACAGCTATGAGGGGCCACCTGTGTGGGGACGAACTGAAAAGTGAACAGTTGTCAATTTCTCTTTATCTTCCCAAGATCTCTCCTAGTCCTATAGAAATGTTGACTCCAAGGTATGAATCATATGGAGCAGTACATGTATGAAGAAAGACTATTGTATATTCACTCAATTGTACACAAATGACATTTGTTCATACCATGTACACGGAGCATTGGGGAAAAATATCTTAGCACCTTCTTGCAGAAATAAAGAGTGTCTTTTTGACAAGGGTAGAAGCTTGTTGCATGGTTAAGGCAGATCATAGAATCATGAAGGTTGGAAAAGACCTTCAAGATACCTGGTCCAACCATCCCCCTACCACCCATGTCACCCACTAAACCATGTCCCTAAGCACTAGGTCCAACCTTTCCTTGAACATCCCCAGAGACGGTGACTCCACCACTTCCGTGGGCAACCCATCCCAGTGTCCTGACTGCTCTTTCTGAGAATAAATGTCACCTAATTTCCAACCCGAACCTCTCGTGGCAGAGGCCACAACTTGCGGCCATTCCCTCTAGTCCTCTCACTAGTTATCTGCAGGAAGAGGTGAACTCTAGCTCCCCACGCTTTCAGGTGGTTGTAGACAGCAATAAGGTCTCCCCCGAGCCTTCTCCAGACTAAACAACCCGCATTCCTTCAGTCACTCCACATAGGACTTGTGTTCCAACTTTACATTTTTATTATTTGTTAAATAATGTGTACTTAATAAGGATCACTCTACGTTATTTCATGTAGCAACAGACAAGTATATCCTCATACAATGTGCAAAACTTGAACCCTTTAATCAATTTCTGCCCTCTGCGATGTCATTGAGTCATAGTGAAAACAATAACTAAACTCAGCCAATTATACATAGTTAATCACATGAGAAAGTGTTTACAGATTCAACTTGCTAATCAGAAAAAAAAGGTTCAAGTAGTGAATTAAATAAAGCATATTACAGCAAGCAGAGGAGTTAGTATGAGGCCTTTGCTTAAATCTGGCTTAGAATTTGTATTTTCTTTAACAAGAAAGATATGTGTAATAACCCACACTAAAATTCTTGAATGCCATGTGTTATTGTAACTTCATAATGCAAGCAGTTTGGGGGGAAAATCATATTGATTTAATGTTACTACTCTATTAGTATATAGTCTTGCAATATAAATATGGGAATTACACAACAGAAAAAAGGGTTTCTTAAAATGAATCTTTTATAAACGTTTATCACACAGTCACCAAGATAGTGGAGTTCAGTAAGCCATAATGTTTCTCTTCTGAGTAAATCGGTCCTTTCAAATTCAGATGTTTTAAAATGCAAATGAATAATAGAGATCTTATAGACAACTCATTCTACTCTGAATAAAACACACAGCTCTCCTGTTTTATGTCATGATCATCATGATTCTGAAAAAGAATAAAAAAATCATCAATTCTATAAACAGGAATTTAAAGACTCATTTTTTTTCTTCTCTGAAATGAGTTGATGCTCTAAAAGCGGTACTGAAATAAAATAGTACTGAAAGACTGCCAAGCTAATAGTCCAGTGAGCACTTGGAAGAGATTAATTTTATACCTGGAAAGAGTATGTACAGTTTCTGTTCTGTTTAGTGAAAGGGCTAGAGTGTGAACTAGTGTTTTCTTCATAGTACAGAGTTGTGTTAAATCCTGGAATAAGGAATCAGCCACTAGAACAGAAGAAGTCTGAATTCAGGACTGTGACCAGCTACGGATGTTCCATGAAAAATAAATCAAAATGGGATGTTTGAGATGCTTACTTGCATTTTTTGGCCATATTTGTATTTGCTGAGTATCAGTTTCTGGTACTTTGAAATCAATGTAAATATTTGTCAATGCAAATACGTAATGAACTCTTCTGTTTAATTCAAAGCATGCACATATTAAAATGGAGAGGTGTGTCCTAGCAAGTATGGTTTCCTCACTAGAGAGCTCTGAGTGAGGTGTAGTCAGAGCTGTAATCCCCAAATATTTTACTTTTACTTTTTAAAGGATGCATGATAAATAATAAGAGACAGAGTGAAGGCAAGACAATGAATCTGCTTCTATGAACTAGGCTAAACAAAGGAAATAGCAGAGGAGATTGGGAGCTCCAGACCATTTTTTGGAAACATCTTTTAAAAGGCTTTCAGAAAATTTCTGTTAAACTGTCTTTTGTGTTCCTGTTTCTCACTGTTGACTGTTCAGATCCCTGATGGAATGGATTTCTCAAAAAATGGACCCTTCTAATTATTAATCACATAGGATATTTGGTACAATATATTGGGTCATCCTACCAGAATGGATAGGGACAAGTTCTGTCATTAATATGCTGGAACATAAAAGGATTGGACACTGACATCTCCTCTGTATTCTCTCACCTAGAAAAGAAGGCAAGCATTTCTTGCTTGAAGGAGTTCAGTCTAGGCCACTGAGTGGGAAGAACAAAGCTGAAGGAGAGATTTTTTCCTAAGCAAAACTGTGAGTAAGTTGTTTTTCTAAAAGATAGTCAGTTCCTAGCTGTTGTTCTTGATCAGAAATAAATGCATAGGATACCAAGATTATTTAGAATATTAAAGAACAATTAGAAGTAGCAACAACATCATAGGAGTTATTCTTGTATGCTACATTTGTGAAATTGCTCTTTCAAACAGAAGCATTCTGAGGTAAGTGACTCCACCTCAAATTTTTATGACAAGAATAGTTACTGAGTCACCCATTTTGTTCAAGAAAATCTTCATGGACAACAGTTACAGCTGGTTGATACGACAAGCTCATACACCTAGAGACTTGCTCAAATAAGAAAAACGAGTGCTATCTAATAGTCAGGATATTGATGAGCCAAGGAAGACCCATTTAGAATTGTTTGAGAGACTAGCTAGATCTAGCGGAGTGCTTAGCATAACACTACATTTCAAATAGTTTGAATGGTTAATCAAAATGCTGATGGTTAATTTTCATATTTGGCTGAGGAAGAAATGTGAGGAACTGCACATCTATAAGGTTCTGTCAAGATTCATGCAGAACTCTTTTTCAGTCATGTAGAAATTCATATTACACAATGCTAAGTAGAAACCAAATAAAGTATTTCTTTTTTCCATGCTCTTTGAGTCTGAACTATGACTAAATGCATCTTCAAAGTGAAAATACATGGACTTATAAAACTTGAGGCCAGAGTCTTCATTAGCCTATATTGTCCTACTTCTTAAAAACAGAAATCATTAGTTTTTATTCTCTTTTGTGTTTAATTCATTAATACACTGCCATTGTAGACCCCAACAGCCAAGGAGACATTGAACATCCAGATAAGATTATCTTCTGGCTCCTTTCACCCTCTAGTTATTTTCTGTTCTGAAGCTGTAATGACTTCACTCAGTCATGGCCACTCAGATGCTGTTATGGACTACATGTAGGAGAAGCAACATTTGCCAGTAATTTGTTTAGAACTGTAATAAAAGAAAGAAAAGACTTGTTCTTATCAGAAGAATAAAGGGTCCAGTGGTATCTCCATAACAAAACAGCCTTGTCACATATTCATAATTACTGTGTTGTAACTATACAATAAACATTAGTGATAGTATTTGATAAACAAAGCTGGTAAATTATGTATATTCTAAAATCCTAAAAAAAAAATGCATGTAAGTAATCACAGTTCTAATCACTGGGGGAAAAATCATGTGATCAATGTCAGCTGCACATTTTTTGAGCCACTTTAATTATAAAGATACTTGCTGCATGAATCTTTGATAGAGGAATCTTTATGTTTTTGTTTGTGTGTTTTTTTTTTTTTTTTAATACAAATTAGTATATCAATTCAATAGAATGGAAAACATTTCAAAATACATCTTTTTGTAAAAATCTTTTTGCTTTGAGTAGAAAATTTAACTAATGACCTCATACAATTTTGCACTTCTGGCATTTTGGCTCACTGCAGCTAGCAGGTAAGAATGTGCCCAGCTGTAAAGAAATAAACAGTCTAAGCATACAGCTGAAAATGATATGCTACCATTTAACTTCTGGTTCATCTTGTTTACTGTTATACCTTCACCGTGGGGTGAACAGGCGAAGTTATGTTGTCATTCGGCTAAACAACTGATGAGTGATGCCAGCCCAGCTACAGTCTTTGTCATATGACAGCAGAGGGGTTCTTCGGTCTGTGGGCCCATAAATGTGAGTGGCAATAGTGAAATCAGGAATTTCATGAAATAACAAATTTTTTGCACAGTTGCATCATACAGCAGACCATATAAAATACACAAAAAAGGTGGCATAACAAAGAAAGTATTAATGAATGCTATTTTTCATTAAGATGTATGAGTATAGGTATATTCTTTTCAAGGATATTAAATTTTGAGGGTTAATATCAAGCTGTATCAATTCAGAGAAGCATATCAAGAAGCATTTTGCATGTCTGCTGCTGTGTACACGTGACTATCCTGATCACTTCTGTGGGGAATATGTCCATAGCTCTCTTCCTTTCCACTAACAACTTACAAAGAAAAGAGCAGTCTAGAATTCTGCTTTCTTCAGTCTATACAAAGCAAGAATGAAACTCCTTGTGGGCTTCTCTGTTCCCATGCACAGAAATTCCAGGCAGTGAGAGGGCTCTTTCAAAGCCAGCCAGTGGTCACTGTAATGCCAGTGTTCAAAAAGAAGAAAGTTTGAATCACCGTGACATAGTGACTCATGTAAAGCATTCTGAGGCAAACCAAGTCTTTTCTGACTATTACAGCTACACTAGTAGTGTATGTCAAACCCTCACAAATTATATGTTCTTCTGTATCGCTATTTTCTATCACTTTGAACTTCCTTTAATAAAGATCTTACCATGTGGAATTACAGGCCAGTTAGGTTAATTTTATCTGTAGGGAAGGTATTTGAAAGAATTTTAACAGATTAGGAGAAGGACCATCTAGTAAAAGCATCCTTCAGCTTGATTAGTTGTATACACATGGGTTAGGAAAAAAGAAGTCATGCTTCACTAGCCTTCTGGAACTCTTTGAAGATAACACTGACAAGATAGGGTATACTGTGGACATTATATTTTTGGATTTTCAGGAGTAATTTGACAACATTTTACCCAATAGATTAATGCTTAAAGAGAGAAGAGTGGAGGGGCAGGAGAAAAGTTTGCTCATTACATTGAAAAGCTGTTCTAAACAAGAACAATTAGGAGCTAAAAACATCATTTTTTCAGACTAGGAGAAATAGAATTTGTAAGGCTGCAGCACTTCTGTGTATCAGGTTAACTTGTTTACATAAATGGC